GTGGTGTCTGTCCTTTCATTATTGGATTGGCTGACCGATTTGGAAATCAAAGGTTTCTAGACACTCTTTTATGTGAGCAGGAGCATGAATTTGTCATATTCTAGCTCGATTTTTGTCTTCTACATCAACTATCAAGTTCCTATGATCATATTAAGAAATGTGACGAAAGATTTATTTAATACATCAATCTAATTTGGTGCATAACATCATGTCCTATTTTACTTTAAATCACTTTGCTGTATCAAACAGTGCATTGACTAATTGATTTTTGATGCACATTGCATTGTTGAATTTGCAATCAGTCTGGCAGCAAAGGCCAACAACTTAGCTCTCAGAACCGAAGGCTACCCCATACCACTACTTGCTTTTAGAGTTGATACATAGTTGAATTTGAGGGTGACAGAGGTGGTGGCTGCTAACATACTATAAAGTTGACAGTAGATTTACGAGCCTATCAATTAATGTTTAATTAAGCTAACTGGTGTAGCTAATAGATTGTTAATATGATATAGCGGAACACATTGCTAATAGATAGTTTTACATATTGAGAAATGTCTGCCATAGCTTTAGTTATTCATATTTCAATAAATGAGAAACTTATTCTTGGATCTTCTCTCTAAAAGAAAAAAATCACAATTCACACGCTTTGTTGCTATGGATATAGTGAAGTCAATTACAAAATTCTCTACTTCTATTCCAGGTCAGGAAACAATTTTGCAGGTAATATTCTTGCATAATGAACTTTCTTTCTGGTTGGGAGCAAGTGAACCCTGTAGGAATTTAGAAAAAATCCTTCTCTTATTCACTGTCTAATATTCTGTACAATGTATCTATTTATACAAGTATTCAATAAATAAAAAATATAAGCTATAACTATACTAGTTACAAGTGTCTAGTTTTTTTATTTGTTGTCCTAGTCATAAGTGCACATAATGTGTACAGATATTACATAGTTGTAAAGTGCATACATAGTTATAAAGTGCATTTAGATATGATTATGCTCGAAGGATTAAGTGTCTTTCAGTTGTATCCAATTATGCTAAATAGATTGGACCGGATCTGTAACAATAGGACCAGACTTGTATTTGTATTGGGCCTTCACTTTGTTGTTCTGTATACTGGCCCAGTTGGCCCAGAACTTTGTTATACCCAATTCATTTGGGTCTTCAGCTGAATACTTGTTGGGTCTTGTTATCTTGTAGACCTATTGCACACAGTACCTGTCTCTCTCTTTCTTCTTCTTCGACTATATCGTCTCATTCATATCCAAAATTGGGTTCAGGGTTCTTTGGTACACGATTCCAGTCCAACATTCCAACACCCCCCTCAAGTTGGAGGGGTGAGAAATCAATCCCAACTTGGAAGCGATCGCACCGTGTAGAGGTCCAGAAAGAGGTTTGGTGAAGACATAGGCTAACTGGAATTTTGAAGGAACAAAGGATAAGGAGATCAGTCCGGCGAGGTACTGTTGATGGACGAAGTGACAATCGATTTTCACGTGTTTTGTTCGTTCGTGGAAGACAGAGTTTTTTGCTATGTGAATAGAGGCCTGGCTATCTGAATGTAGAGAAACTGGTAAGCTTGGGGAAAATGAGAGATCTGTGAGAAGGCGTACAAGCCATGTTAGTTCAGCAACGACCTTCTTCATAGAACGGTACTCGGCCTCGGCAGAAGAGAGTGAGATTGAAGATTGTTTCTTTGATTTCCATGAAATAGGAGAGCCGTCGAGATTGATATAGAAGCCACTAACTGAACGACAAGATTCCGGACAAGACCCCCAATCCGAGTCGCAAAAAATTCATTAATGAAAAAGAGGGGTCTGATTTCATAAAGAGCCCAACTCTGGGTGAATATAGCAAATATCTTAGCCAATGTAGCCCAGCATCAAAATAAGGTCAACGTGGGCTTTGCATATATTGGCTCAGATGCTGAACTGCAAATGAGAGGTCAGGGCGAGTATGGGTTAAAAAATTGAGTTTGCCCAAGAGTCGCCTGTAGATGGTTGGATCGTGAAGAGGTTCACCAACATCGGCTCGAAGCTTGCAACTAGGATCTAGCGGAGAGGAAGCTGGTCGTGAACCGAGAACACCAAACTCAGAAAGAAGCTCTAAGGTGAACTTTCTTTGACTGATAATTAGTCCCTGTTTTTCTATTATTATTTTCATTCTGAGAAAATAATTAGCTTCTCCAAGATCTTTGATTTTGAATTCGGAATTGAGGAAATCCTTTAGATTAGAAAGTTCTGTAGGGTTGTCACCTGTGAGAAGTATGTCATCTACATAAACAACCACAATAGAAATTCCAAAAGTTGTCTTTTTGAAAAATAAAGAATAGTTATTAAGAGAATGGGAATAGCCTTTAAAATTGAGCGCACCAGTGAGTCTTGTGTACCACTGTCGTGAAGCCTGTTTGAGTCTATATAAGGACTTTTTTAATCTGCACACATGATTAGTAGAAGGTGAGACCATACCTGGTGAAAATCTCATGTATACTTCTTCCTGTAGATCACCATGAAGAAAAGCGTTATTGACATCTAATTGAAATAATTTCCAATGCATTTTGACTGCAATGGCTAAAATGCATCTAACAGTAGTCATTTTCACCACTGGACTAAAAGTCTCATTGTAGTCTATTCCTTCCCTTTGTATGTCTCCTCGTATAACTAGTCGAGCTTTGAATCTTTCAATACGTCCATCGGATTTATATTTAACCTTATAGATACATTTACAAGGTAAAGGTTTCTTGCCTTTTGGTAGTTCAACCACTTCCCAAGTTTGGTTGGTCTCCAAGGCTTGAAGTTCTTTTGCCATTGCATCCTGCCAACTGGGATGTAAAACTGCTTGAGAGAAACTTGTAGGTTCAATGATATGAGAGATAGAGTTTAGAAGAGATTGACTGGATGGAGAGAGGTCAGTGAAAGTCATAGTAGTAGGTGAGCCCGGTATTGCAAAGCAAGACTTGGTTAGATCAGTCAAATATACGACATTGCATACATAATATGTCAGATAAGATGGTGGATTATGTTCCCTAGTAGATCTCCTTAGTTCAGGTTGAAGAGGAATAGAAGATGGAGATGAATTGGACCTAGATGTAGGAGATAAAGTAGGAGCTGTTCTAGGTGATGTTATGAATAGAGGGGCAGGAGGATTAGATCTGATTCTGAAGAAGGTTGGTTATCAGACTAAGGGAAAGGATGAGTTTGGTCTTGTATAGTGGAAAATTCTTTAGGATAAATGGGAGGTTCAAGCGAAAGAGAGAGGAAAAGGGGAATATATCCTCATAAAAAAAAATCTAGAGATAAAAATGGTTTTAGATTTAAGATCCAATAGTTTGTATCCTTTCTTCCCAAAAGGATATCCTAAAAAACACACTTTACTGATCTAGATTCAAGTGTTGGCCTGTGATGAGGTAGAGTAGAGTTATAACATAGACAACCAAAACATCTTAGAAAAGCATAAGCTGGAACTTTCCCAAAAAGAATTTCAAAAGGAGTTTTAAAATCAAGAACTCTAGAGGGAAAACGATTTATTAAAAAAATAGCAGTTAACAAACAATCACCTAATACATAGTGGGGAGATTAGATTGGAATAATAGAGCCCTACATGTTTCTAGAAGATGTTTATGTTTTCGTTCAACCACTCCATTTTGTTGTGGTGTAGCAACACAAGATGTTTGATGAAGGATTCAATTAGAAGAGAAAAAACTTGAAATAATGGATCCTGAACCTAATTCCAAAGCATTATCTGAACGAATAATTTTAACTTAAGTTGCAAATTGTCTTTCTACCATTGCTAGAAAGGATTTCAAAACTGGAAAAGCATTGCTTTTTGTTCTTAAAAGATAAGTCCAAGTTCCCCTACTATAGTCATCTACTATGGTCAAGAAATATTTTAATCATCATGAGTTGGGATCTTGTAAGGTCTCCAAGTATCGACATGAATTAGTTGAAAAATTGAATTTGTGTTGACATTGCTTGACTGAAAAGGCAATTTCACCTGGCTAGCTTGACAACATATATCATAAGGATGATTAAACTTGACAAGAGAAGAAAATTGAAAACTGGTTATATTTTGCATACTGGACAGAGGCATATGCCCCAACCTTTTGTGCCACAGGCTTACATTAGAGTTGATCCTAGCAGAACAAGAGAGAGACAATGTCTTTCTTGAGGTTGTTACAAGCTGAATAAGACTGAAAAATTGATTGATTTCCATAAACTAGGCCAGAACTTAGAGAAGTTGGATTAAGCAGATATAGACCTTCCTTGACTTCACCAACTACCACTGGCCTCTTCAGTGAAGGGCCCTGTAAGAATGTGCCAAAAAATGAGAAGAGCAAGGTACAAGTGAGTTGTTTAGTGAGTTTGTGAACTAAAATTAGATTAAACCTGAAATCTGGAACATATAACACATTGTTTAGGATTAAATCTGGCAGAACATGCACACTACCAACTTGACTGACCTTAACTCTGTATGAATTTGGGAGATTCACGTATAAAGATTTTCTTAGAGGTTTCACATTTAATAAAATAGAATAATCAAAAGTCATATGTTCTGAAGCTCCTGAATCTATTATCCAGGAGGTAGAGTTCATGTAAGGAAGACAAGAAAGACAATATAGATTAGGGGTATTGATTATTTTACCAGCACAGTTGGCACTAGCATTTGCATCAGAAAATTACTCACCCTGTTCACCAACCTTCACCTACTGAAGAAGTTGGTAAAGCTGACTGAATTGCTCTTGAGTGATGACTTTCTCTGCTGCATTTCCTTCTATTGTGTTGACTGATTGACTTGTGTTTCTTCATGCATGAGTGCTGCATTGATGCGAGGTCCTCCTTGATACCTTTTGGATTTGGTAAACTTGAAGGTGGAGGGAAAAACAACGATTCTATAGAATTTATCAATGGAATGTTCGGTCTTCTTGCAATAGTTGCACACCAGGTTATTCTTCTTTCCTTCAAGATTTGCTTTCAGCTTTCCTTCTCCATTAACATATTTCTAAAAATAGGTTGCTTGATTTTGTGCCAGAAAAGCAGTCTCAACTGGGTTTTGTGCAACATCAATTTCTCTTTGCTTCTCATCTTGAATGAGAAGAGAATAGGCTTGATTGATACTTGGAAGAGGGGTAAGCATCAGAATATTACTCCTTACAGCTGTGTATGCATCATTAAGTCCTATGAGAAATTGGATTAGCCTACCATCTTGAAAAGACTTTAAAGCTCTTGACTTTCCTCCACAATTACATTCACAGGTGCAGTGCACACAACTATTCAAGGTATCTAACTCATCCCAAATATTTTTTACCTTTGTATAGTATCCTGCTATATCAGAGATCCCTTGCACTAGGTCACTCAACTCCTTTTGCAATTGATAAAGTTGAGCACCATTGCATTGTCCGAATCTAACCTCAAGTTCTTTCCAAATTGCATTTGCAGTTTTTGAATAAAGGACACTTTCAGCTATGTCCTTAGATAGAGAATTCAAGATCCACGATATAACCATATCATTGCAACGATTCCACGGCTTGAAATCAGTAGAAGAAGCATCAGGTTCATAATATGTTCCATCAATAAAACCAAGCTTATTCTTGGCAGAGAGTCCAATGACTATGGCTCTACGCCATCCTCCATATCCCTTCCCATTAAATACTGAGTTGACAAGAATCATTCCTGGTGAGTCTGATGGATGAAGGTAATAGAGGTGAGTGGAATCCACAGTAGCTGGTTGAGTAATTGTGCGAGCTGAAAAAACGTTTGAAGAATCATTTGTGGAATTTGGTGCCATTTTAAAGAGGAAGAGAAGGCTGGGAAAAAAATGTAGGTTGGGTTTCAGATAGCTACTGCTTTGATACCATGTAGGAATTTAAAAAAAAATCATTCTCTCATTCACTGTCTAATATTCTGTACAATGTATCTATTTATACAAATATTTATTAAATAAAAAATATAAGCTACATCTATACTAGTTACAAGTGTCTAATTTTTTTATTTGTTGTCCTAGTCATAAGTGCACATAATGTGTACAGATATTACATAGTTGTAAAGTGCATATATAGTTATAAAGTGCATTTAGATATGATTATGCTCGAAGGATTAAGTGTCTTTCAGTTGTATCCAATTATGCTAAATAGATTGGACCGGATCTGTAACAATAGGACCAGACTTGTGTTTGTATTGGGCCTTCACTTTGTTGTTCTGTATACTGGCCCAGTTGGCCCAGAACTTTGTTATACCCAATGCATTTTCAGTTGAATACTTGTTGGGTCTTGTTATCTTTTAGACCTATTGCACACGGTACTTGTCTCTCTCTTTCTTCTTCTTCTTCGACTGTATCGTCTCCTTCATATCCAAAATTAGGTTTAGGATTCTTTGATACACGATTCCGGTCCAACATTCCAACAAACCCGATTTGGAATTGCCGATTGTTTGGCAATCAGAGTATTTTCATCTATTCCATTTGGATGTTATAAAATTGTACATTTCCCTCACTATAAAGATCAGTATTTAGTTGGTTTTTAAATTAATATAACAGTTTTCTTAAGGAATGATGGAGGCTAACTACTAAGCTAGGGACGTATAGTGCTTGTGATCATAGAATGATTATAGTGTGCTTTTTTATGTGCTAGAATATAAAACATTACCTATATCTATTGCATATTTTATCTTATGATAGTTGACTATATTTTTGGTGAATTGAACTAGAGACATGCAGTGTTCTTATGCCATTTTTGTATATATTTTGCAGAAAAGTCTCATATTATGTACGTATCGTGCAGAAGATATTTTGTTGGCTTACTTTGATTAATTTTGGAGGAGTGTCTCTATTAGCACAAGAGAACTTGCTAAAACGATTTAGCTCAATGCGTAGTTGGTAGATCGATCGACATTTACATATTCGTACTAATGATATTATAGTGGGTTGAAATTGTCTGATTCATTTGATTAACTTCAGTGGGTTGAAGCTGGGTGATTCATTTGATCTTCCTGCTTTGGGTGGTTATTTCTAACATATAGATAAATTTGTTAAGATATGTGTTGATATCGTGAAGGGAAGCCTTGACGTAATTAGTAAAGTTGTTGTCATGTGACCAGGAGGTCATGGGTTCGAGCCGTGAAAATAACCTTTTACTGAAATGCAGAGTAGGACTGCATATAATAGACCATGTTATCCGGCCCTTCAACGGACCCTACATATATACGTATCGATCAGTTCTGAAGTTTTGTATCCTTATTAGTAAAAGCAATAACAATGTTGATTCATCCTTTCTAAAACTTTCATGTTGAATTCTTAGCTTTGATCAAGTTAGAACTTCTTCTGAATTATCTCGTGCACGAATCATATTTCATACCAGTCGTTTTGAGCTCTAGCATGTCATTCGGCGATTTGAAACCTTCAGTTGCTTCAATTCATGTATTATGACTTGCACGTGCAGTCGGATTTGAATTTCGGGAAATTCGAAGTTGATTTGGAAGGAAAATTCTCAATTCGGATATTTTAAGTTGGAAGAGTTGACCAAAGTTTTACTATTGAGTGAACCACCTCGGAATTGAGATTTTAAGGTTCCTATGGATTCGTAAGGTAATTTCAGACTTGAGCATATGTTCGGGTTGAGTATCGGATGTTCCGAAAGCGTTTCGGCGCTTAACAATGGAAGTTTATATTTTGAAGGTTTTGAAATTTGCTAAGTTTGACTTAGAGTGTACTTCGACTTTATCGGACTCCAGGAGGTGTTTTGGGACCTCTGATAGATTCATTTTATTAATTGGAACTTGTGTGTGAAGTTTAGTCATGATCCGGAATGTCTAAATGTGATTAGGACACGTTCGGCGAAGTTTGAAGGTTTGAAAGTTAAAAGAAGGATTTCGATCGTCGATTTGTGGTTTTGATGTTATTCGTGGTGTTTGGAGACTTTGGATGAGTTTGGATAAGGTATTGGAACTTGTTGGTGCGACTTGATGGGGTCCGAGAGCCTCAAGTGTGTTTCAGGGTAGTTTCGGACCATTTTTTCTTATTTTGCAACTGTTGATTTCTGGTGTTCTTGGTGTGCATCGCGGTCGCGTAAAGTGTGCCACGACCGCGAAGAGTAACCTAGAGCTGGAAAGTATTTGTTCATCATGGTCGCGGTACTTTTTAGTCATCGTGGAAAGTAATTTGCTGGGGACTAAAATGTTGGCCTTCGCGTTCATGAAATTTGGCTCGCATTCGCATAGGCTTGGTAGGTTATGAAATGCGATCATGGAAGGACACCGCGTTCATGACGAAGGAAGGGGGCTAAGGGTCCTGGCAGGCATTAAGCCTTCACTTACATAAAGGGCAAGGATCAGGAGGTATCGCGAACGTGACCTGGAGATGTAACGACCCGACCAGTCATTTTGTGTATTTGCGCCCCGTTTCTCCTTTTGATACTTCACACATGTGTAATTTTGGTTTTATGACTTACGGGGTTAATTGGTTTCGTTACGGGAAGGTTTCGAGGTTACTTAGACCCTTTTGGTTCTTGGCTTAGAATCTTAAGTTAGAAATGTTGACCAAACTTTGACTTTTGTGAAAATGACCCCAGAACGATATTTTGATGGCTCCGATAGGTTCGTATCGTGATTTTTGGACTTGGGCGTATGCCCAAAATCGAATTTGGAGGTCCGTAGATTGTTTGTATTATTTTTATCAAAAATTGGTAATTTGAGCTTCAAAAGTTTGATTGTAGGTTGACTTTTGGCTATTGGGTTCAGAATTTGTTTATGGGACTTGGAATAGGTCCGTTATGCTATTTAGAACTTGTCTGCAAAATTTGATATCATTTGGAGTTGATTTGATAGGACTCAAACGCTTAGTTGCAATTCTAGAAGTTCTTGAAATTTACATTGAAATTAATGTATTTTGGTATCCGATTAGTAGTTCTAGATGTTGTTTTTGTGTTTTGATCAGGCGAGCGAGTTTGTATGGTCTTTTTAGACTTTTGTTTATGTTTGGTTTGGAGCCCCGAGGGCTCGGATGAGTTTCAGACGTGATTCAGAATGGTTTTGAACTAAATATAATCTGCTGGTGTACTGATGCCTCTAGTGTCACAATTTCCAACACCAAATCGCAATTACGACCTTAGCAGGGGGTCTCAGGTATCGCAATTGCGATGCCTGGGTAGCAATTGCAAAGAAGACTTGGGATGGGGTAGTTTTGCATTTGCGATACTGTCGCATTTGCGAAGGGAGCAGGGTTAGCATTTGTGAACCCACTATCGCATTTGTGAAGTTCCCCTTAAGTCTGTCAGTGCCGCAATTGCGAGAAGTTCTTCTCAATTGCGAGGGTTCGCAATTGCGAACCCATTGTCGCAATTGCGATGTCTACAACTGAACAAAAGATAGAAAAGTCGGGATTTAGGTCTCATTTCTCACATTTTAGAGCCCTAGACTCGGTATGAGGCATTTTGGAGAGGAGATTTTCATATACAAATATTGGGTAACTGATTCTAAACAATTTCAAACTATATTTCATGATTATATCTTAGATTTAACATCAAATTTATGTGAATCAAAGAGGAAAAATTGGGAGATTTTGTCAAGTTTTTGAAAAATAAAGAATTGAGTTTTGAGAGATGATTTGGACTCTGATTTGAAAACTAATCATATATATGGACTCGTAGGGTTATGGTTAGTCAAAATCTACCCTTGGACCCGAGTTTTGACCGGGCAGGCCTAAGATTGACTTCTATTGACTTTTAGGAAAAGGTGTAAAGACCATAGCTTTATTTATTGTAATTGATTTCTGTAACGACCCGGATGGTCGTTTTGAGAATTGTAGCCTTATTCCCTCATTTCCTGCTCTTTTTGTGTTCTACACCTGTATTATGGCTTATCGGGCTAGTCGGTTCGGGACCAGAGTGATTTCGGAGTGATTGCGACACATACTCTCTTGATTGAAAGTTTGAGTTGGAAAAGTCGATCGGGTGTCAACTTATGTGTAAACGACCTAGGATTTGGATTTTGATGGTTCCGTTAGCTCCGTTAGGTGATTTTGAACTTAGGAGCGTGTCCAAATTATGTTTTGGAGGTCCGTAGTAGAATTACGCTTGAATTGGCAAAAGTTGAAATTTTAAAAAGTTTGACCGGGAGTGGAATTTTTAATATCGGGGTCGGATTGCATTTCTAAAAGTTGAAGTAGGTTTGTGGTGTCATTTATGACTTGCGTGCAAAATTTGAGTTCAATCGGACGTGATTTGATAAGTTTTGGCGCCGATTGTAGAATTTGAAAATTTCAAAGTTCATTAAGCTTGAATCTGTGTGTAATTCGTGTTTTTGATATTGTTTGAGGTGATTTGAGGATTCGACTAAGTTCGTATGATGTTTTGGGACTTGTTAGTATGTTTGCTTGAGGTTCCGAGCGCCTCGGGTGAGTTTTGGGTGGTTAACAGATCATTTTTGGCCTTTGAGTGATAGTTGATGTCTGCTGCTGCATTTCTTCTGGTTTCCTTATACGCGATCGCATGAGTGGGTCCGTGATCACGTAGATCTACTGAGGGCAGCTAGGGAATTGTTCTATGCGATCATCAGTGGAGGCACGCGATCGCGGAGGTTGGTGAGTCTGGTCATCGCGGACGCGAGGAAAGGTCTGCATTCGCATAGAGTACTGGGCCAGGAGCTGGAATTAGGTGATTCCTCTATGCGATCGCATAGTTATGGACGCGATCGCATAGCTTGGGTTAGTCAGTTGTATGCGATTGCAGAGCTTTTACGCGTTCGCGTAGGTTAATAGTATGGGGTAGTCTATTTTGTGCTTCGCGATCGCGAGGC